TTTTGCACGTGTAACTACACAAGTTTTAAGTTATTTAAAGGGCAAAATCTGTGTCTTATTACTTCTTTTACATCCCTTAAAAAATCTAGCTCTGTGACAAGGACATACTATCTTCTGATTTCCAAACCTGCCTAACCAGCTGTCTCTGAGTCTCCCGGTGCCTCCTCCTGCTGACTCCTTCTCCCAGAGTGCCCTGCACTTTCCTTTAAAGCAGCTAACACAGGTTGTAATTATATATTGATCTGGATGGCTATTTGTTCAATGCCAGCCTCCCTGTTATACTGTAAGGTGTGTGTACCGTTCATCACTATATACCTAAGATCCATGACAGTGCCTGGCAGTGTTCAAAAAATCTGTCAGATGAACAGACAGATGGATCATGGAAATAAGAAAAAATGATCTCTAAGTGAACTATAGATATAAAGGAAGCAGAGTTCAATTTTATGGATTTATACGTTTGTGAAGCTAATCTTACATTGCTAAAACATCATCTGGCAGTAGGTCACAGGCTTATTAAAACCTTCTCCTTTCCTCAGAAAGAGCTGGAGAACAGCTAGGCCTGCAGCCCCCATCCAGTCTAGGGTCTAAGACATGAGTGACAATTTGGTGCAGATGGTACTATATTTGTCCTTGTTACAGAAATTGCTCCCATGTACAAACCACGGTCTCGAGCAGCAAGAGAGGAAATGTAACATCCCCAGTGAACAGGCTGGAAGGCATCCCAGGATCAAGTTCCTACGAGCATTTCAGACATTGCCTCAGTGTGAGATCTCTGGGGCCCACAGCCTCTGACAGTCCCGCTTAATTGCCCCAAGTCAGCAACATGAGATGTCATGGTGCGGACAGTTATAAATTGCTGTGGCAAAACCGGGCTGTGGGATCCCACTGCTTTTGTGGTTAGATCAATGTACACTGGGAAGTGCTGTGTAAGAGAAAAGAATCAGCATAATTTTGGAACCCTAGGCTGCCTGCTAATTAATTGAAAGGCCTGACATTTACATAATCCTTTAGAATTTAAAAAGCACTTTCAGATTTGCACTCTCAGTAGATCCTATGACATCCCCATTAAGGAGCAGCAGCCAGGATCAAACACACGTGTCCTGTGACCCCCCCCTAGTTCTTCTCCCCATACTCTGCACACCTTCAAGTGAACTGTACCTTTTCAGTTCTTAAACCAACAGATTTTCTTCTTTTTCAGCATATTGTCATGAGAAGAATGCCAATTTATGGGAAATGAGTACAATTTATGGGAAGTGAAAAACCCCAGAAGGCATTCCCCAAGAAGCCCCCTCCCTAGTGGGCTGCTCTAGCGGTGTGAGGGGTGCGCTGGGCGGCGGCGGAGGGGAAATGGGGCAGCAGCAGGGACCCACCCACCACCCACCGCCAGGAGAAACAAGACGTACTGTAAGCTTAGGGTCTGTCTCTGCAGCAAGTTGTGCTCAAACTTGCAAAAGCTTCCGCTCAGGGACCAGCCCAGCCAGAGCAAGCAATCCCCGGCAGTGACGAGTACTGCGCCTCTAACACAGCAAAGGAAAATGTTAAAAGCTTGATACAGGCCACTGGGGAAAGCTGTGGGATTCCGGGAAAATTCTGGCCTGATCTTCCAGACACCATGCATCTCCGGAGTCTATCCGTCCTCGGCAGTCGAGTTTGCTCCCTCACTGCCTCTCATCTCGCCAACCAGAATAGCCTCCTAAATTGCCTCTGTGGCTCCAACTTTCCCTCCTTCCAGTCTGCCACCTACACTGTCACCAATGCAATCCTCACGTCACCTCCTGTCAGGAGCTTCCTCAGCCTCCCCCCACCCCCGCCCCTGAGCCTTTCGGGAACTGCCTGTCCCTTCTGCACTCAGTGGCACTTCTCCAGCGAAGCGTTTCTCCCCAGAGGTACCACAAACTCCCCAAGGCAGCAGTCTCATCTGCACACAGTGTCAAGTCTAGGATGCACAAGATGTTCAATAAATGTTTATCAAATTGAACCAATTATGCTTTAATTCTGCCCTTAAAACAGAGCCCGTAAGGAAAGCAGAACGCCCCGTGGGGAAGAGCAAGGAGCGTCTCTGGAAAAGGATGAGCAGAGTGGTGAACACAGAGGGGCCACAGCAGCTGTGGGACCGAGCAGTGTCACTGCTCACCACAGGGCAGGTGGGAAAGTGACCAACACCTTCTGCTCCTCCCTCAGAAGATTTCAAAGTCTCTAGTGAGAAGTGTACGAGCACGGGGTCTCTGCCTTGCCCCGAAGGCGCTCAGTCTATGTACCAGCTGCTGGGCTCGTGTGCTATCGAAAGGGGAAATGGGAAGATGGACACACCTTCTCGGGTCAACCCCTCAAAACCAAACAGGGAAAAAAAGTCACCTTAAAAATACTCCCTCGCCCCATTTGCTACAAACAGACTTTATTCTGCAATCAGTGTTCTCCTAGTCGGTATTTGCAAACCACTCAGCGTCCTCTGCAAACAGGAAGGCTACTGGCGATGTGCCGTCCCCTCCGAGCTGGAGATCTTCCCAGGGCCAGATCTCACACTGTCACGGCGTTCTCAACTCAGGATAGAAGGCACCACAGCGACCTACTCCAAGTACTGCACCAAATAACAGCTAAGAACGTGTGTGATGGGGAGGGTGTCACGCCTTCACTGCTGCTCCTCCTGCCAGCTCTCCATCACTGGGCCAGTTCTGACACGTGTGAGCATCAACCCGCGATCCCAGCACCTCTTCTGGCCCTCCATGCGTCACCCCTCCTTACCTAACCTAAGGCCATGACCACTCCTCTACGTAAACTCAACTTCCTTGCTTCTGCATGCTTTGCTGAACGTTCTTGGCTAAAACCCAACCCTGCACACAAAAATGTGTGCATAATTTTCCACAACAGCATTATTCATGGTAGCAGAAAAGCGGAAGTAACCCAAATATCCAACACCTGGGGAAGAGGTGAACAAAAGGGTTATATCCATTTAACGGAGTAGTATTCAGTCACAAAAAGGGATGCTGACTGACACTGGCTATAAGGTGACCGAATCTCCAAAACATGCCCAGGGAAAGAAGCCAGACGCAGAGTTCCACATATTATATACTCCCATGCATATGCCACAACTTGCTAAATTTACTAATAATCATTGAATTGTAAACTTAAAGTAGGTGGATTTTATGGTTTGTAAATTATCGCTGGAGAAGCAAAAAGCAACCACAGTGGCCACACTTTAAACTCAGGTGGGTTCTTGACCCTGTCTTCCAATCACACTGTATTTCTCAAGTTCCTTTTGTTTCCTACTCTCAATTATTTCCCTCTCCTCAAATCCTCAACACCTCATCCCCACATACTACTCCCTTCTCATCTAATAATCCTACTTCCTGCTGCAGGAGAAACCAGAGGCCATCAGAGGAGAGCTGCCAGATAGCCGTCATCACACCCACCTGCTGCCCGTTACTACCCTGCTCTATCTAGCAGCTATGTGTGGCTATTTAAGATTAAACAAAATTAAAAGTTCAGTTCCTCATCCACAGCAGTCCCATTTCAAATGCTTAATAGCTACATGCGGCTCGTGGGCCCCATGTTGGCCAGTGCGGACGCAGAACATCCCCGTCACTGACAGAGACCATCTACCTGCTGCCCGTCCATTGGAAACATCTCTGCTTCCTGGTGCAGCTCCTCTCACCCACATCAAGGGCACCTGCTCCACCAATTCCTTCCTTCCTCCTACATGACCAGTTTTCAGCTAAGAGAACATTTTTATCAGTATACAAACATGACTGTGATTTCCCTCATCTTAACAAAAATAAAAGAGGAACAGTTTAGGGTGATGCAAAGGTTTTGAAAAAGATAATGGCATTCTCAACAGAAAAGAGAACTGACGACCACGTGACACGGTAACAGTGTTAGCTGATGCTCCTGCTGTGATCACAGGGCAACACAGGAATGCATCAAACATGTACACCTTCAACTTGCAAAATGTGTATGTCAGTTTTGCACTGTAATTAATGCCACTGAATTATACACTCAAAATGGCAAATCGTAGGGTTTTTGTGTATGTGTTTACACGTATGTTACACATATGCCACCACAGTATGGGAAAACCCAAAGGACACAATCCCTCATCATTACTCTCCCTGCAGTGACCACCAGCCATAGCCCTCTTTCTCTGCTTCCCGTTAGAGCAGAACTCTCCAGAAAACCCCTGTGTTCGCCACCTCCGGGTCCTGTCCTACTGCTTTCGCTCTGACCCCTAACTCTCAAGTCACGGTGCTCTGACCACGCCATCAAAACGGCTTTTATCAGCTGCTGAACCCAACCGACAGTTGTTATTATTCATCTTCATTTATCAGCAGCTTCTGACCATGCCGTCCTCCTAAAAACATCTTCCTCCCTGTTTCTGAGTCCCAGTCCTGCCTCTCAGGACCTGGTCTTCTACCTTTTGCCTTCTGCCTGGGCTCTGTCCACCAAGCCTCCCTGGACCTCGGCCCACCAACAACCTGACTCCTCCAACTGAATGCCGTGACTCCTTCAGCTGAACACTCTGCTTCCCCTCTTGTTATCACTTCTCAGGCCCTTCTGAAGAGCCAGACAAGCCCTGGTTTATTTGGTCTGAGATCAAGTAAGGCCTGTCCCTTCCTTGACTGAGCCTGGATTCCAGAAACAATGGATATGAACTTCTAGCCCCTCTCAGGATAGAGGCAGTCTTCCTGTTATAATACTCTGAGACAGTTAAGGTTGATTGCCAAAAGTAATCCATTTCAAACACTTATTTGCATGGTCTTCAGTGGATCTGTTTTATTTAGATTCTTTTATTTGGGTGACACCTGAATAAACTTTGCATATGGTTCCTAGAAAGAAAGAGCACTCTTAGATTTCTCAGGAAACTGGACAACAGAGGAGTTCGGGCCTAAATGAAAATAAAATGCAATGGTGGCTATTACAGTCAGCCCAGGACTGGGAGTTATTCAGTCAAGATTCCAATCTGTACCCTCGTTAGTCCTAGCACAACTCTTAGGATTAAAGCCACATACCTAGAAGCATCAAGGAATGGTCTGTAGGCCAAGCTGATCCATTCTTCTCTGTTCGATGAGTATTTTGGCTCCCGAGGTGTTTCTCTCATGGTGTCCAAATCCACTAAATAATGGCATTTACTGATGTCAATCTGCAATGGAGAAAGTCCAAGGCTTCATCAGTAATTGCAAAGGTCCTTTCAGGATACGGGACATCAATCACAATCCTAAAACTTCCCACAGGGTTAGAGAAGTACAACATCCAAACCCTGGGACAATGTTACTTGTGCTCTCTGCATTCAGATAGGAGTGTTGGGTACTGGGGTATTATTTAGGCTTCTGGAGGCAGGAGAGAGATATGCACCCACCCAGCCAAATATACATGTAAGCTTTGGGAGTTCTGACTCTAGTTTGGGTATTAAGTTCCTCTGGCCTCACAGACACTTCCGAAGCTAGCTTGAGTCCACAACCTACTCAAAAAACCTCCTTCTGCTGCTATCATTCCCTTCCAATCTATCACTTCTTATCTCAGAGATGGAAAGGGCATCACCTAACCATGCATGCTACTATGTGAAACCCTGTCTCTGCTGACAGAGACATGTGAGATACCCTACACCTCTTAAATGGTACAGAAATATCATATATCATCACCTCCTTCCACATTTCAACAGAACTGACAGACATGGGAACTGTCTGGACAGAAAGGATCAGTAAAACAGGTATCAGAAGTGCAAGAGTAGAGAAGATTACAAAAAATATATAATAACTATTAGCAAAACTGCAGTCATCCAGTTGATTACAACTGGATGGATACTCATAAAATAATATTAATATATTTCATTTAAAACCACATCAAGGGGGGATGCCTGGGTGGCTCAGTCAGTTAAGCGTCCAGCTTTAGAAACTCCGGTCATGATCTCACGGTTCATGAGTTCAAGCCCCACATCGAGCTCTGTGCTGACAGCTCAGAGCCTGGAGCCTGCTTTGGATTCTGTGTCTCCCCCTTTCTCTCTGCCTCTCTCCACTCATGCTTTCTCTCTCAAAAATAAACAAACATTAAAAACATATTCCCCACTTACAGCAATGGACAGATCCTCTAAACAGAAAACAATGGCTTTGAATGAATAATACCACAATGTAGGGGACTTCAACACCCCACTTACAGCAGTCGACAGTCATTTAAACACAAAATCAACAAAAACATATTGAGGGCACCTGGATGGCTCAGCTGGTTAAAAGTCTCTTGGTTTCCACTCAGGTCATGATCTCACAGTTCATGAATTTGAACTCTACGTTGGGCTCTGCACTGACAGAGCAGTCCGCTTGGGATCCTCTCTCTCTCTCTCTCTCTCTGCCCCTCCCCTGCTCATGGTCTCCCTCTCAAAATAAACTTGAAAAAAAATAATAAAACTATTTAAGTACTGTGCTTCTCATAAAATTAATTCAATGGAACATGCTACAAAATCTGTAGAATACTTCTGCCAAATATTTCCTTTCAAACTAAAAAAAAATTACAGTCCTAACCAAAATCACAAATACATGGCAGAGCCACATCTGGACCAAAGTCAATGTGATTTCAAAAGTCACATCAAGACCCAAAATGACTGAATCAGAGACAAAGTGGTCTCGGTAGCTCATCTAAATGCTTCTTACAAATTAAAACCAGTAACGAGTCTTCCTAGAATGTCAGTTATCAGCTAAGATAAAGGCCATTTGAAACATGAACAGATGTTTAGCAAATCTCATATTTCATGGTAAAGGGATGGAATCTTTTCCCTCGGGATCAGGAATCAGCCAAAGCTTTTTATCATGAGATTCAAGGGTTCCAGTCATCAGGGTAAGAGAAAGAAATGACACAAGAAATGGAAAGAGAACAAAATTCATTCATCACTATATGACTGGTATATATAAAAATCCTTGGAGCGCCTGGGTGGCTCAGTCGGTTAAGCATCCGACTTCAGCTCAGGTCATGATCTCATGGTTTGTGGTTCAAGCCCCACGTCAGCCTCTGTGCTGACAGCTCAGAGCTGTGAGCCTGCTTTGGATTCTGTGTCTCCCTTTTTCTCTTCCCCTCTCCTGCTTGTGCTCTATCTCTCAAAAATAAATAAATGTTAAAAAAAAATTAAAAACAAAATCCAGTTGCCCGATAAATTTTTGGAATTGAGTTTATCACACTTTAGAATTATAGAATGTAAAAATCAATGTCATATATTCCTATAGAACAGCAGTAAACAATGTATAAAATAATTGTGTTTCAATTATAGACTTTCAAATCCTATAATAAAAAGTGTAATTTACAAGAATTTGAAAATACAGACCTTAGAATAAATCTAACAAAAATATGGCAAAGTCCTCTATAAAAAATTGTGAAATTTTATTGACAAATGTCTGTCAACGTAGAAACTTATAACATGATATAGTCATATAATTAAAATGTATATACATTCAATGAAATATTATTCAATCTTAAAAAGGATACACTGTACAACATGGACGAACCTTGAAAACATGATGCTAAGTGAAAGAAGTCAGCTGCAAGAAGCACATGCTGTGTGATTCCACTTACATGAGATGTCCAGAACAGACAAATCCACAGAGAAAAAGAGCAGATTAGTGCTTGCTAAGGACTGGGGAAGTGACTGCTTAATGCATACAGGGGTTTTTCAGGTATGAAAGTATTCTGAAATTAGATAATGGTTATGGCCTCACATCAGTATGAATGTACTAAACACCACTGAATAGTGCATTTTAAAATCATTGATAACTGTAAGATCCAGCAACCCCATTTCTGGATTTATACCCTGAAGAATTGAAAGCTATGACCTGAAACAGGTATTTGTATTCCAATGTTCACAGCAGCATTATTCACAACAGACAAAAGGTGGAAACAACCCAAAGTCCATGAGTGGAAGAATGAACTAAAAAAGAAATCTGAGGCACCTGGGAGGCTTAGTAAGTTAAGCATCTAACTTTGGCTCAGGTCGTGATCTCATGGTCTTTGGCTTCTGTGTCTCCCTCTCTCTCCGCCCTTCCCCTGCCCACGCTGTGTGTGTGTGTGTGTGTGTGTGTGTGTGTGTGTGTGTGAGTGACTCAAAGATTAACATTAAAAAATTAAAAATTTTTAAAAAAGATTTAAAAAACTGTCTACTGAGTACCACTTTTCAGTCTGAGATGAATAACAAGATCGAGAGAGAGAGAGAGAGAGAGAGAGGAGATGGTCATACAACATGCTTAATGCCACTGAATTATATCCTAAAAATGGTTAAAGTAGTAAATTTTATCACTATAAAACCTGTTGAAATGATTCATTTTAATCTCAAAAGAATTTTTGACAATACAGTATTAAATGGAGAGATACGCCTTATTCTTAAAGACTCACTGTTATAAAGATGTAAAGTCTGAATAAATTGACCGATCTAATAAACGCAGTCTCAAAAATCCCAACAGACTTACTTTGTGAAACTTGACAAGCTGATTCCAAAATGTATAGGGAAATGTACAAGACAGCCAAGGCGCAGTCAGGAAAGAAAAGCAAGGTGGGGGCATATCGGCAATACACTTACAGGAATGAAGACAAGAGGTGTTTAGTGCAGGAACAGAGCAACAGACTGATGAAGAGAATAGAGCCTAGAATGGATGCAGGCAACATGGACCCTGATTTATGACAGAATGATGCCTCAGCCCAGAGGGGCGAGGACAGGCCTTTCACTGACTGGTGCTCACACAACTGGACAAACACTGGGGGGGGTGGGAAATGAAACTGAATCACAACCTCACTCCGCTCACAAAAATCAATCTCAGATGGATTACAGAACTAAATGAGAAAGGCAAAACCATAAAGCTCTTGGAAGATACTATCAGAGAATATCTTCAAGAACTTTCAGTAAAAGTCTCTTTAGACAAGACACAAAAAGGATTAACTACCAAAAAAATGGATAAATCTGACTACATTAAAATATCTATTCATCAGACACACCCTCATCAGAGTGAAGAGATGAGCCACAGAATGGCAAAAGAAACATGCAACGTATGAAGCCATCAAGGATTCATATCTAGAACTTATAAAGAATACCTGCTAGTCAACAAGACAAAGATCATTCAACAGAAAGATGGGCAAATCACTTTAATAGGTACTTCATAGGAAAAAGTCTAAATTGCCAAAAACAAATGACCAAGGGCTCACCTTCATACTAGGAACCAAGGAAATGCAAACCAAAACCACAATGAAAAATTACAATAGTTAAGTGTTGGCCAGAATATGGAGAAACTTCATTCTTTGCAGGCAGGAGATCAAGTTGGTACAAGATTTTTGGGCAACTATTTGGTAGAATCTACAAAAACTGAACACATACATTTGCTATGAGCCAACATTTGTATGCCCAAGTATTAGACTGAACCATATGAAATCATTAATATTTCACTATTTAATCCACAAAATTAGTACTTTCACCATGGTTCAAGCTAACAGATTTTCAACAGAAATGCATGCATGAAAAGACAATTCAAGAACGCTCAACATGGCTTTATTTGCAGTTGGTCCAGACTGGAAAGAGGCAAACATTCATCAACAGAAAAGTGATAAACTGTGGTATAATCCTACAATGAGATGCTATATAGTAAAAGAGAACTACAGCTATATGCAACATGTGCGATTATTAACAAACAAAACATTGAGGGAAAAGGTCAAGACACACAAAAAATGCAGTATGATTCTACGTATATGAAGTTCAAAAACAGTCAAAACTTAATCATTTATGAGTGCATACAAATACAAAAGTGGTAAATCTAAAGAGAAAAACCAGGAAATGATTACCATACAAATCAGAGAGTTTCCCTGAAGGGGGGAGTGGGTAGTGATCCAAAGGAATTGGAGGGAGGGGAGTTGTGGGCAGGGGCAGTGTTCTACTATCTGAGCTTGGTGGTGCTTGCACAGGTACCCGGCTCTATTATTATATTACTGATTACTGCACACTTGTGTTTTGTGCACACTGAGGCTTAAGGGTCATCCACAATTGAAGGTTCAAAACAGTGCTTATAAGAACAGCTTGTTCTGGGGCGCCTGGGTGGCTTAGTCGGTTAAGCGTCCGACTTTCGCTTAGGTCATGATCTTGCGGTTCGTGGGTTCGAGCCCCGCATCGGGCTCTGTGCTGAC